GAGGGCGCCACAGTGGTCACGTGACTCGCTGACGCAACACATATAAGGTTAATCTAGAGGAACCAGTCTGCAAAGTTAGACGATGCCAAATTCGTGTAACTTTCTGTACTATGTTATCTTCTTTATTTTAGTATTCTATTCAACATTCGCAGGCTGTTGGTTGCGGGTTGGAATATCGTCACCAATCATCTTAGCCATTTCCCCTGTGGAATCGCTATTATGTCATGAACAATCCCACTTTTCATTGGTAAAGAGTAGCCAAAGAGTTGGCGATTGATGGTGTTAACTAGTTGTCTTACTACACTTTCTCACTTCTAAATTAGGGACGACTAGTGCGCAAAATTCAACAAAACAAACAAACAGATCTGTTCATACTCTTAAAAAGTCTCTATAGCGCGAATATCGTCTTTATTTTAGTATTTTCTACCAGCTCATATATTATATTTTGAACTTCTGTTGGGTATCAATTAATTAAACGAAGCAACACGTTTGTCGCAGGTACAAAGGATTGGGTCTATTTATTTATTTTCAATTGAACATAAGTTTTTGTAACATCGAACTGTGTTTATTTACATTTCAACATAGATTGACAATCAAAGCCAAATGTGTTATGGAACTCCAGCGGTTCCCAATGGATCACCAATCGTGTCCACTGATCTTCGGCAGCTGTAAGTTTATATTCTAGTCAATATCTTTACTGATGTGTTTTAATTATTACTATAGATGATACATGAAAACCACATCTCACAAAGCTTCAGTTATTTCCTAACGTTTATGATGATTGTTATTTTACTGTCATCTTTTTAAAACTTAGACTTAATTAAGGATGGCTAGGTAAATCTTACACCATACAAAGATGGCTAGGTATATCTTACACTACACAAAGATGGCTAGATAAATCTTATACCACACAAGAATGGCTAGGTTAATCTTACACCACACAAGAATGGCTAGATAAATCTTACACCACACAAGGATGACTAGATAAAACTTATACCACACAAGAATGGCTAGGTTAATCTTACACCGCACAAGGATGGCTAGGTAAATCTGAAGCCACACAAAGATGACTAGATAAATCTTATACCACACAAGAATGGCTAGGTAAATTTTACACTACACAAGAATGGCTAGGTAAATCTTACATCGCACAAGCTTTCCACTGAACTTTAGCTTCGTCTTTAAGAAGAACAAAAGCATAAAATTCTTTGTTCTGGATTGGTTTCATTTCGAAACCCGTTTTTGTCCTAAACGTTTTCCAATGCGAGTTTTCTGCTTCCATTAACAACATTAGAAGCTTCCATGTTCTGAAATGTTGTGTCCGTTAACAATCTCGCAATGTACTTATTGTTTCTCAAAAATGAATTACTCCAGTCATAAAGTCTATCTTTGGCAGCATCGTACTCAAGATGCTTTGACCAAATATACAGATATGGGGTTTTGAGTCCAAATTCACTTTTCAATTTCACCTCTGGCGAGAAACAAAAGAAATCTCTACAGGTACTACACATGTCGACCATACATTATACTAAATATATATTGTTGTGTGATAATCTTCTGGTATATCTTTATTTATTATATTTGTATATACCACATATTTTTATTCGATTATCTGATTTATGTTTGTTTACCATATTAATGTATATTTTAGCATTTACATGTTATAATTTCCTTAATATATTTTACTTTTATCCTTACACATGGATGTAACATAAATAATTAATACTGATGTTTCGTTGCTATGACTACATTCTCTAATGGTAATCTTAATAACATCAAACTATAATTTATTGCACACTGTGATTTAAATTACTTCTGCTTCATTTTCCTTGCGTTTTGAATTTCTAAAGGGCATATAATAAACCGTATTGAAATACATTTTATTCTGTTACTTCAACAATTAGATAGTTACACATCGAATGAAATCATTTATCGTTGGGATAAAGATGACGCTGTTAGCCTGATAGAAGGCCTTGTACTATCTCAGTTTGACCTCAAAGACTACCCATATCGTAATACCACGGTGGCCTTTAAACCTGGTGAGTTTGTTTGAATATTATTTATCATAAATTCTGATTTAAACTGGATAATAGCTGCCATTTTATGGCATTTAAACCTGGTGAGTTTGTTTGAATATTATTTATCATAAATTCTGATTTAGACTGGATAATAGCTGCCATTTTATGGCATTTAAACCTGGTGAGTTTGTTTGAATATTATTTATCATAAATTCTGATTTAGACTGGATAATTGCTGCCATTTTATGGCATTTAAACCTGGTGAGTTTGTTTTGATGTTCTTTATCAGTAATCTGGATGTACGCTGGAGAATAGCTGCCATTTTATGGCCTTTAACCTTGGTGATCTTGTTTAGATGTTGTTTATCAATAAGCTGGATGTAGACTGGAGACTAGCTGAAATTTTAAACATTATAATAAATTCGACCATTCACCAGAAAATGCGTTTTATTTCCAATATTTTGCAGTATAAGCTTTATCACGAGATATGTATATATATCATAACAGAAGAACCTATATAATACAACAGAAAGAAAGAAAATGGGATAATAGATAACATGGATATAATACAACAGAAGCTAAGAATAATGGGATAATGTATAACATGCACGTAATACAACAGCAGGTAATAACAGTAAGATAATATATAACATGTACATGATACAACAGAAGGTAAGAACAATGGGACAATATATAACATGGACATAATACAAAAGCAGATAAGACCAGTAAGATAATACATAACATTTACATAATAGAACAAAAGATAAGACCAGTAAGATAATGTATAACACGTACATAATACAATAGAAGAAAGGAACAATGAGATAATATGTAAAATGTACATAATACAACAGAAGGTAAGACCAGTAAGATAATATATAACATGAACATAATACAATAGCAGGTAAGGAAAATGGGATAATATATAACATGAACATAACACAATAGCAGGTAAGTACAATGGGATAATATATAACACCTTACCTTCTGTTGTATTATGTACAACATTGGACTAATATGTAAAATGTACATAATACAACAGAAGGTAAGAACATTGGAATAATATGTAAAATGTATATAATACAGCAGAAGGTAAGATCAATGGGATAATATATAACGTGGAAATAATACAACAGAAAATAGGAACAATGGGATAATATATATAACATGTACATAATACAACAGAAGGTAAGAAGAATGGGATAATATGTAAAATGTACATAACACAACAGAAGTTAAGAATATTGGGAATATATATATAAAATGTATATAATACAACAAAAGTTAAGGATATTGGGAATATATATAAACTGTACATAATACAACAGAAGGTAAGAACAATAGGATAATGTATAACATGTACATAATACACCAGAAGATACGAATAATGGTATAACATTCAAATGTATAACATACACATAATACAACAGAAGATAGGAACAATGGGATAATATGTAAAATGTACATAATACAACAGAAGTTAAGAATATTGGGAATATATATAAAATGTGCATAATACAACAAAATAAACAATATTGGGAATATATATAACGTACATAATACAACAGAAGGTAAGAACAATGGGATAATGTGTCAATCTACGTATAAACACGATAGTATCGCAAAAATTGAGAAATTTGTGCAAATAATAAAAGATAAAAAAAATTAGATGAATTTTGCTTATTGAGATTGCAGAATATGTAATCAGTGCTTGTGGTGGATTTACATGATCATTACTTGGCGAGGGATTTCATTTTTTTCAATCAATCTTTCCGGTTTTTTACAAGAAGTCACTGCTTGTTTACGTGTTGTGTACTGATTTTCTGTATTCCGTTTTCAAAAAGTCTGAAATTACCGACCTGCCTCTCCAAACATAGAACTGCGTGCGAAATTGTATAGAGTATTCCTTATGCAACATGTGCCAGTTAGTCCATGGTCTACTATTATATATATGCTATAGAGTTGTTGTTAAAAGTAAATGTAACAAATTGTGATTTTCGGTTATTCTTTGCATAGTGAACGATTTAGACTTCAAGATTTGTGTTATTTTTGCATTCTCTAATACGAAGTACAGGTATACATTAATAAATAAATGGGATAACACAAGTTTATTTACTATGTTATGGTGAATTTCTCTTTTCCAGTGTTGTCGATGTCTAGAAATATTGATGCAATATTGTCAAATGGGTATTGGCTGTTATTTAAGATGCAGTTAAAATAGCGATACAGGTTGCATATTTCACATTGTTTGGGTTGTCAAGCATAAAGCTTAAGAAGACCAGACGTCCAACAATGATATTTTTTAGACGTGGTATGTTTATTTTTTTAATGCATTTTATATTATTCAACAATATGTCAGCTTGTGTCTAAGAGAAATGAATTAGGTGAAAAAAAGAAACGAAATCTTTAACAGAC